TTTATTGAACAAATCTACTACGTGAAAAGGACTGCGGAGGATTCTAAGCTGGGATAAGTGAATGAATGATGTTGTTTAGAACGCTTGAATGTCAACATTTCCATCAATATTCATTTAAATCCAAGGAATCAAAGAACTGAAGGTTGAGTTGCGGATGAAAAGCATTAGCAAGTAAGGGGGAGAGGAGAAAGCATTACTTCAGAAGACATCCTGCAAAGCTACCAGAATCCTAACTTCAATTTCCATTTTATGTATTAATTACATCATGGATACACGTCTGTAAGCGCATACATACTCCCGACAAATTTCACCTCTGATCAATCATCAATATCTGTTCGTCTGTAGCCATGTACAATGTGGATAACTTAGTTTTTTTTTCAAGTTATCAGTTCATATCCAGCAGAATAGTTTTTGTAAAATCATTGATGATCGATTTGCCCTTCAGATCTGCTAATTCTATTACAGTGATACCATCAAAGAATAGCGAGTCTATCGTGATATTTTCTGTGAAGGATATCAATGTAAAAACATCTCAATGCTTCTCTGCTTGGAAATATTCTTGTTCACTATCCCGAGACTGTAGTAAAGTGACAATTAGGTTACATTTCTAATCTCACGTGAAATGCGTATGTATCTAACGTATTCGGCACTTTTTACTTCAATCCTACCTACCATTGCCAGTAGTATGCTAATTGGGGATGGAAGAAAGAGCAAAGCTGATTAGTTCAAATTTGAATGAATTCCATTCAATTAGTTTGAATCTTAAAGTATCAGCAAGAAACGAGAGGTCGTTTGCATTGTTATCAGTGAAGCTTTGTGAACCTTGTAAACAGTAACATCCAGAGTAGTGCATTGTTATTGATCCTCCCTTAACCCACCATGTTTACTATTTTTCTTCTGCCACCCGATGTAATCACATGTATGTTTGTGTGTGTGTGTATGTGTGTGTATGTCTGTCTGCGTGTGTGTATGTGTCTGTATGTATGTATGCATGTGTATGCGTAAGTATTTTTTCAGCGAAATTGTGATGCAAGTTGAAGCCGTGTTTTGATATTTTTCCATCCCGCCCTCTCATCCATCTACCCACCCAACTAACCACTTACCCATCCATCGACTTACCCAGGGGAACTGATAAATAGGCTTCATGTGAGAGTGTATTGGGTAGTTAAGGACACATCGGTCCCCCGTCTTCTTCCCGATCCTCCTCCACCGCTTGTTTTTAATTTGCAGCCTGCAAGGCATACAACTTCATAATGCTACCTGCTCTATACTATTTTTTGCATTTGAAATTTTGCTTCTCCCCATATTGTTTTCATTAATAAGCTATATATGTATGTGTGTGTGTGTGTGTATGTGCGTCTGTCTGTCTGTCTGCCGATGTGCATGTTGTGTCCTCAACTTTTATTCTGCTTAGAAATGGAAACTGATACTTCCATTGTGGCGCAGTTTCCCTGGAAGATTGTAGCATTTGATCCATCTCGCTCCTTTAACAAGTGGGGCTGGCCATATACGACATTCCCGGGAAACTGCGCTTCGATGAAAATATCATTTTTCAGGAATACACCGGGAAGGAGTAGATATTTCATCACATAATCATTAGTAATGAGATGTTGTGCAACCGCGGAAAAGAGTTTGAAACTTTTGCAAATTCCAAATCTATTTTTCTTCAAAATGACAGCTCTCTCTTGTTTAGGCAATGTATCATTAATTGATTCCGGTTGTCGTCATCCGGTCATTTGACTAATTTTCTCTTGTGGTGATCTCTAATTATTGGTATATAATTAAACTTTTCCTCATTGTTTATTTATTGAAACTGCCAGTTGTGGGCATATTGCAAAACAATTCGTTGACGTTAATTGTTGCTGTTATTGAAGTAAATTTTGCAACTTTTTTTTTCAGAATTTCAGAAAAAAGGAATTCGAAAAGTGGCATAGCTCATTAGTGGCAAGTCGATCTGACCATTCGCTCCCGTTTTTACGGGCATTTCAAGAAGTCAAGATTAGTTCTGATACATTTATCGTGGTCAGGAAAGTTATGGTTAGTAATGATTTTGATCAAGTTTTTTTTTAACAGAGCAATGTTATTACTTCTAACTCCATTACTTTATTTGTGGATTTCTTTGATTTTATTGCAAAAAAAGAAATCATAGTTGATCAAAATAAAAAATCATGGTTGACCTAAAAGTAGCTAAGGAAATCTCGATTTTCATCGGGTGCTTGTCAATTTCATATAATAGTTATTTGTGTTTTGTTTTTGGCATATAATCACTTGTTGAACAAAATGAATAATAATTAGACAGCCCATTTATCTCCTTTGTTATATTTATGCTAATTGCTTATTTATCAGAACAGTGTTGCCTTTTGAAGTTTAAAGAATGAAATTGAAACAGTCTGCTAATTACTTAGAAATTTTTTCTCTTCCTCCTAATCATGATTAACTTTTCGGCTATTTCAATAATAATGAGGAATTAATGTTGCATAGTTTGGCATTGTAGAAATTTCTTCACATTTTTATCATTATTTCATTCTGTAGCCTATTTGAACTGACATAAAATTAACTAACTAACAAACATTTTTTGTTGTTTGTGTCGCTTCCCCCATACGACAGTAATCTTGAGAAAATTTAAATGAAACAAGAACTGCACAAGTTATTTTCTACATCTGCACAACTAAGTAGGTTGTTGTCGGTAAAGGGCACTGAGGTTTCTGTTGTTAATTGCTTTTTGAAATAAACATTTCCCGTTTTTGTGAAATTCTACTTGCACTTGCGGATTAGAACGATAACCAGAATATTAGCTAGCTGTTTATTTAGACAAAAAATGGAGTGAATTTTTTTTGAAAAAATGAATGATAACTTCGGGGATGTGTAAGAAAGGAAATTCCTTCCCTTAATAGCTGAGATGACATTTATCCGTGTAAGCTATTGGATCTTTTCCTCCCCTCAAATGACAAAACAAATAATCTATTAGACCGTTAATTTGCTTATTTTTATTTTATTTTGCATAATTGAAGGGGAATTGAAAGGCTATCACATAATAATCTGATGATATTATCTTCTTTTTCATGTGTAAACACATTAATAAGTAACTAATTCCGATACAATTTCTTCCTATAGCCTTTCATGAATCATTCACTCCCCGTTATAATTGTTTCTTTTTTTAGTGACTTTGAAATTCGAGTAAGAACATTTGAACAAATATTTTATAACGATAGAATGAAAAGAATTAATTAATTTAATTCTCTACATATTGATGACAGATCTTTGTACTTCAACTATACTGAATCAGTTCGTGTTAATGTAAGAATATTTTGTAAACAAAATAATTTTTTAATCCATCTCGATTCTGTTAACAGATAGAACTTTCTCTAAATTAAAAGTTCATGGCACTATAAATAAACATTTTTCCATTTCCATAATTTTGCAAAAGTTAACAATTAATTTGTTTATTTATTTAGTTTTTGCTCCCTTTTCATACTTTTATATAGAGATATTGTTGGTGAAATTTTTTTTTCATCAAAAGACTGACTCATGAAGAATATTTTTGAATTTAATTAAGAATCTGGAATGATTTTTTTGAGAGGGAGATTTAGATGATTTGAACCTAATACATGCATAATAAGTACAGGAAATAGACAATGCAGAGGTACTGTGAAGGGAGATTTTGATTTTGTTAAATTTGAATTGCAGTAAATTTTGCTAAGGGAAGTAATACACTTAATGTTATTTTTTTGTCCTTAACTTAGCTGCTAACAGCTCAATGATGACATACTTTCGCCTAATCTTACGTAAAATAAAAATAAGTAAAATTGGTAAGGAATGGAGTGTTAAGAAAAGAGGCAACAAATATAAAACAGTCTTGTGGATGAATGCCATAGAGTCGGGAAAGATGAAAAAGGAGTAGTTGATTGGACAGTCAGGATCGCTTTCGGGCGTGCTTACCTATCTGTTTATAATTTAATGTTCATATTAATGAATTAATAAATGAAGAGAAAGAGAAAATTAGCTTCCTTCCATCCAAATCTTATGTATATATGTTTGCTTCTTTTAGCTAAACTTTTGATTTGTTGAAGCGGAATCGAATCTACTTTATGTCATAAAGAACCTTTGAGCCAGTTTGATTAATTTCACTAATCACTGTCAGGAATAGTTGTAAGTCTGAATAAAAGTGAAACTGTCTTATGCACCTGTTTTACCAGCGCTTTTAATAAGGAAGCTATTCTTTCAAGATTTTTCAGAAAAGTATTTTCTTAGATAAGTCATTTATAGTGTTTCAACTACGATATGTTTGATTTTTTTCTTTGTAATTCGGGCACAAAAAATGATCTATCTGCAGGTTTTCGAAACTCCAGAAACGGAATTTCGAAATCGGATCGGTTCGCGTGATGAGAAAGCGATCGTACGAGAAGGTTCCATTGGCAACGATTCGAAAATACGCTCCGCTTTGACGAGCGCTTTGGCTAAAAAAAATGGCGAAAAATATAACTTTTTTGAAGATGAACAAGTGAGAACCTATTTATTTATTCAAAAAACAATCAACATCATGCTGATGAAAGCTTAAACAAACTTATAAATCAACGAAACAGAAATTGAGAATATTAAATTTGAAAGTTAATTTTTAAGACTGGTTTCTTTACAGATTGATTTGGAAAACTAGTCAAAATAATTTGCAAAAATTTGAATGATCTGTCTTTTAAAATTTCCGTAATTGTCTGGAAAATTCATATCTTCATTTTATTAGCGTAATATTATTGAAAGATGATATAATATGCAATGCTGGGCAGATTCAGATTACAATCTCTATGATGAAAATTCGCTTTAAAGAATAAAGGTTAAATAATAAAAAAGAAGCCTATATAAATATAGGAAAATCGTTAAACAAAAGACGCAGATTTCTAAAACATATATATATATGTGACATGATGCCTTTTCCTTGAAAGGATTTCACTTAACTTCATAGTAGTTTATACTTCATAGTCTTACTAAAAAAATCAGTTAAAATACTGAAATTTTCGAGAAACATGTCAAGCAGATGAAATATCAGAGTGATGTTTCGTGACAGCTTAGCGGTATGATTTTTTTTAATGATGCCGACTACTTTTTTACTACTTTTCTATTGTAGGTGCGAAAAACGGGTTCAATTTTTGAAAGGCGAAAAGATATGCAATATGTTAAGGAAGCATTGCCACGCGCACGCTTGAACGGTTTTCATATAAAAGTTTGAATCATTTTCTTCGATTTTGGTTTATTTTTTTCTCTTCACATTAATATATTAGGAAAAGGTTTTCTGCATGATTATGATAGCTTTGTGAATAAACTTTAAGCAAATTTTATATTGTTTAATTAAATATTTTAAAGTGGTTTGATTATTTGACATAAAATTGTTAGATTTGTTGTGATAAAGTTAATTATAATTTACCGAAGATATAATATCAGTAACATTGAAAGAAGGAAATAAATAGAAGACTTAGAATAGCTTTAACAGATTAAATTTCAGATGGAGGATGACTGTCCACAAGGTGGTGATGATACAAGGCTGTCCGTACTTCGTGCTCTCGGAACCCATAACTGTCGAACGGTACCCTGTGTTTTATGTGAGCGAAATTTAATTGTTTATGATAGATATCCGCTCATCGATGGTACATTCTTTCTTTCGCCAGTACAACACTCCAAAGCAGCGATTAGCATGAAGTTTGAATCCAAGCAAGTTTGAATTTATTGAATTCAAACCGGGCTCAGTTCTATTTATATATTTCATTTTATAGTGGATAATTTAATTCGGTAGCTTTTTAGTGACTTATTTTGATTGAATTTTTGCTGAAAATTCTAAACTGCAGTGATTTCAAAAAGTTTACCCTATAATGATTTCTTACAGAACACACACTATTCTGGTGATAAACTTTCTGGTGATAAACTAATCAACTATCAAATTTGTTTTGTGACTTTCAAAATGAAACGGGAAAAAAGAAGTTCTCATTTCAGAACTGGTTATTTACATGCAATTTGCATCACATGTATGCATACCGAATGGAAATGTCCCGGTTGCGGTAGCAGTGGATGGTTTCTTGGTTCGGCTTTAATCGTAGGAACACTGTATACTTACGACGTTTTATCAAGTACCACTTGCTGTATACCTGTTTGCAGACATTGTCGTGCCCTCTCACTTATATGTACATGATATACAGATGAATATATTATTAGGAGCAGTATGAAACAAATATTTTGTTATGTTTTGTTGTTGTACTATTTGTATGTTCGAACTCTTTTGCATTTTGCACTTCTAAAAATCCTCCAAATAATTTCGGGATTCTAACTAATTCTTAAATAGTAAACTCAGGTGTAGTAATTTTTCATGGTAAAATTTTTGATTTTTTAAAATTTTTTTCTGTTAAAAGAAATTTTATACTTACTAAATGAAAATTAATCATGAATTTGCTGCAGACATGATAAGGATTAACCATTAATTGTGAAGCTTTCAAAGCCGACTGTAATGAATAGTTGAATGAATTAAAGGTCGCCCTTAAAATTAAATACTGTAAGGATTGTTACTGGTAGTTGTGCAGTCTTATATTACATTTAATCATTGAAGTACTGCAGGCACCTGTCATTCTTTTCAAAAAAAAATTGTGAGCAGTATATGTAATTATTTTGTCTATAGTATGTAAATATTCACAAAAGGTTTGAAAAATTAGCTTTTTACGGATATGTATATAATTAAACCTTATTAATTATACCTCTTTAACTTCGTCTACCTCAAATTATAATTTATGTGATGATTCCCTTTGTATTACTTTTAATGCTTTTTTTGAGAGGGGTTTTGAAATTCCGACAGTGTTTCCTGAACAGTTCCTTGATTTCTTTTTCTTTTTTCCTTTTTCAATCAGAATGGCAGGAATTGATTTACACTCATTAATTCCAACTCTTGAATTCAGCATTTGCTTTTTTTCTTCGTTCGCATCAAATATTTTCACTTATTTTTTACATATAATAATTGTAAATCAAAAAGATAATACAATGTGTTGTCGGCGATTCAATTTTATTTGCAACTGTTTTTCTAACAGAAAATTTTAAAGATCATAAGCTTCATTACTACTTCTCTATGTTTGACAAAAAAAGCAATATATAGGTGCAGATGTAAATATTGTGTTTTTGAATAAATCTGAGTGATTGCTGTTCCTCAACTATCTACATTGCGATAAAATTGCAATTGTCACAACTCTATTAGTTAACACAATCAGCCGCTTTTGTTATTCCCATGTACATTCATCACGTTCCAATAGGTCATAGAAGATTGAACCGTCCATAAAATTAAATCATAAGGAATTATTTTTCGTTGGTCGGATTTAATTTCATTCGATCACATGTTGATATTAAAATGAACTACAGAGACAGTGAGGGTCAAGGTGTACATTAACTTGTTTTCTGTTTTAGTGTGAACTTTTTTTCAATTAACTAATGTTAAAGAAAAGATATTTAAAATTAACAAAAATCATTATTTAGAAGGTTTCATCCCCATATTTAATGTTTAATCTTCCTATCACAAATAATTTTCCTGTGGAACTGATGATGATAAAAATAAGATTCTTTGTACTTGACAACAAATTACAAATTTTAAAATGTCCTTAAAATTTGATAAGAAGCAATCATCGAGCGAAAAATGTTGAAGAACGAGACGAATTCAATGAATTAAAAGGAAGGCTGTCATTAAAATTAATAACTATCATACTGTACCGATTGCGGCAGTCATACTGTCATCATATTCTTCCTAATCATTAACATAATGCAAATATTGACTGCTCTTTTCAAAAAAAAATTAAAGAAAAAAGTGATAATGACAATGTTCGTAATTAATTTTTCTATATGGTATTACACTGACAGAACATCGATGAGTATTGTGACTCTCTTAAATTCATTACAAATGATTTATGTCTTCTTCGATCATATACAACATGAAATTTCACTTATTCCTTTATTATTTATACTTGTAAATAAATTTAAAAAAAATGAAAAAGCACACCCATACACACACGCGCACACATTTCATGTTTGTTTTAAATCATCACTAATTAATCATCACTGTCATATAACAGCATTAAAAATTCAGAGAGTATATTTGTATAATTAATTCGATAATTGATCAATATTGATTTAAAATCATATCGATAAATAAATTGTTAGTTGTATCAAGTAATTGATATTCAAATTAGCATCGTATGTCTTGCCACTTGTACATGTTATGAAAACTGTTAGTTGAATGTTTCATTTGTATAAATTTTATTGAAGCACAAAGAAAATTTGTACTATGCAAGGATTACAGTAAGCTGGCTCTTTTTCTATAATGTTTATGATAATGTACGCTTCATAATAGATGCTCGTAATTTGAAAATGTAAAATGAGAATAAAAAGTAATTCTCTAACTTATCTAATTTATTTGAGTTTAAATGATTGATTACTTTTATATAAAAATATTATTCTCTATTTTAATTTTCCAGTTATCATTATTTTTTCCCGACGTCTTTTGTTTTTTTCACTTTAAATCATTTCGATGAATCAATAATTTAATTGTTTAATTTCAAGAATTTCCTATTCGAAATCATTAACTAATCTTGTTTTATATTAGATCGTTTTCCCTTTACACTTCCTGTTTATGAACTTTGACCTTTGTTGAATAGTTCGACAATGCAATCGAAGAAGATATTGTATGTGATGATACCTAACTGGGTTCATGCTGCTTCTAAATAGTCCTGATGAGCAATCGTATTGGATCAAATTCATAAAATAAGAAAGAACTAAGAAGGTTAGAAGGATAAGTAGTTCATAGCCGACCTCCTGCTGAGTTCCTCATGTAATCAGCTTTCACCTTTCAATCCTTCATCATTATAATGTTCGCTTGTCAACCAGTAGCAAATAATTTATCACAACTTCATCCGAATTATTCTCTCACTCTCATTTATATACTTTTAAATTGATTTTCTTGCTGTTTTTAGTATTTCAATTGTATTCGATGAAATTTTGTTTTTGTCAAAAATTTTTAACTATCATATCACAGACTAACGAATAGTAAATATTTTTAGGATAGCAAAAAAAACAATACAATAAATTATTTTGTTTACTACATTAATGTAAATGCAAAAATGCTTTAGAATTTCTGGATCCCGTATATTTCGAAAAGTTCTATAAATTATTGGTGATAATCTCTCCGATCAAAAAGGAACTAACAAAATATTTGATCGCTAAGTCACAATATACGAAAAACAGAAATATTTGCACAATTTTTTTGAAATCTAAAGAATCCGTTGCTTATATGAACTTGTTTTTTGAGATGATAGGTCATGCCAGCTGACCAAAAGGAAATTATGCTCAATGACATAAAAGACAAAGTATTTGTTCACAAGCGCAAACTTATTAAAATAAAGTGGAAAAACGTGAGTTACCCATGTGTGAGTTACGTTCTTCTTCCTAAATTTTAACAACGAATCATTACTTATATTAACAACGAATCATTACTTATACCAACTGATGGTTCATAAATACATTTTTCCTATCATTTTTGCATAACAGATATTCATCATTTCTAATTCTCATATGAATTTCACCAATTCATTCAGTGACATTCTTTCTTTCGTCTTTTCTCAATAATGTTTGCCAATATTTACTGTATTTGCTGGCTATTTGTCCACTCTGAAAGTAAGATGACCATTAGTATTTGGTGTTAGAACAATAGGATTTGCATGTTTGTGAACGGTTTGCTAGTGAATAAACATGGCAGTAATTCTAAGGTGATGCTTAAGTAAATACATCGACAGAAGAGGCTTTTCTTATTCGAAAAATGAGCGAGGAATACATGGCATTGCATGTAAAATAACTTGCACTTACAGATTCTCATACCATGCATTGAGGTTGCATGTATTGCAATGAATCTTTGTGAAGTAAACAAGGAATTCAGTTGCAGAAATGCAAAGCGCTGCAAGGTGATATTTACTTTTTAATCCCTGAGCTTTCCAGCGCTAATTTTTACTCGTGAGCAAAAGATTTGTCGTAATTTACCTGAAGTTTTCGAAGTAATTCGAAAATAAGTTTGATTTGAAACTTTGAAAGATACCTTGTGAGAATTTTCGGAGATATATCATTTATCGATGGGAATAGATATTTAGGTGAGATGAGTATCAAGAGACAAAATTACGAAATGATAAGTAAGGCAACCAAATTTCTCGGATTTTTCACAGTGAAATTTTCTTTTGGATTTGATATTTAATAAAACAATGCATAAATTGATGTAAAAATTGGAATAACTCACGAGAATGAGAAATGAGAGTTAGTGCATTCAAATTGTAGAAAAAGAAATTCTGAATTTCAGTAGTCAAAGATTGAGATGGTCAAGAAATTTTTGGCTGGCGCCATTCACTAAACATACATACTCCGATTCCATTTTCGTTTTCTTTTTCTTTTTTTTTTCAAAGTTTCTTGTAAGGTGGACTATTGATGATGGAACGGTGTTGATGTTTCGTCCACCGCTGGATAATGTTTATATTAGCCAATCCGGAGCTTTTTTCAATTCACACTATTTTTGTTGCGTAGTTTTGTGAGATTTCGAGACGATAAGCATCCTCCAGGTGACGCCAGCACATTCCTTTTGATTGTTGTCTTCCGTGAAACCAAACAATCTTATTTTATTCGTATAGAAAAAAGAAAGAAAGAAACCGTTCCCATATTCTTTGCTATATATTTTCATTTAAAATTTTTGACATCAAAATTAATTGCTAATATTTTTATAGCCCATTTTATCCATTCCAGGAACTTTGTATTTGTTGGAAAATTAGGTAATGACAAGATCCATTTATAGAATTGCGGAAGTTAATTCTGATCTGCCTTCCATAATTAATTCATTTACATAGCATCATTATTAGTTTAAAATAGATTAACCAAAATTATCTAAAAAAATACAAAAGAATAAAGTTCTAAAAATTTTAGATTAAAATAAATATAAATAAATATATTTTTCATCCAAGCGTCGATTGAACGAATAACTAATTATTTTTTAATGGTGATTAGGGATCTTTTTTTAATGATTGAACAAATTTTAGTATTGCAATTATTTGCTGAACATCGTTTCTGAACTGTTAAATAAATGTGAAAATGATAATTGCTCTACTCCCTTAATGAGAATGTGTTAATACA